AGAAAGAAAGAAAGAAAGAAAGAAAGAAAGAAAGAAAGAAAGAAAGAGAGAAAGAGAAAGAAGGAAGGAGGGAAGGGAGAGAGGGAGGGAGGGACGGAGGGAAGGGAGGGAGGGAATTATAATGCAGAGCAGGGCACAAAATAATAGCCCTTTTTATTTATATGTTTATTTATCTTGAGGTGAAATTCTTGGCTCTGGAGGGGACACCAGCAATCTGGGTCCTCACTGCCACTTGGACGCTGGTCTATGGCGTGCCTGGGCCCTGCACCCTTCGCTTCCTGTCCCTCAGGCCCTGCTTCAATCTCCTCTATTTCCACTCACCCTAGGCTCCGCCTGGGCAGGCCCTACTGTTATCACCAGACCCCTGAGCTCTATAACCTTGGAGGTCCTATAGATTGAGAGTGGCGTGAGAGCTGCTTGACCCCCAAATTACAGCATCCGCCTCCCCTTCAACTGCTTGCCATCCTCGTGTTCTTTTTTTTTTTTTGAGACGGAGTTTCACTCATGTTACCCAGGCTGGAGTGCAATGGCGCGATCTCGGCTCACCGCAACCTCCGCCTCCTGGGTTCAGGCAATTCTCCTGCCTCAACCTCCTGAGTAGCTGGGATTACAGGCACGCGCCACCATGCCCAGCTGATTTTTTGTATTTTTAGTAGAGACGGGGTTTCACCATGTTGACCAGGATGGTCTCGATCTCTTGACCTCGTGATCCACCCACCTCGGCCTCCCAAAGTGCTGGGATTACAGGCTTGAGCCACCGCGCCCGGCTCCATCCTTGTGTTCTAAAGAAGAAAACCTAGCACTACAAAGCTGGACTCTTTTCTCCTTAAAATGACAAAGCAGATGAGAGCCGTGGGAGCTCCTGTCTAAATCTCTGCCTCCCCTCTGCAGCACTATCTGTGATGGGAATTCCAGAGCCATTTATCATCGTAATGATTGCTGATTCCAGCACGTTATGGTGACTGATGGCCGTGCTACCTGGAGCTTGTCTTCCCGATTTTCTCTTCACTAAAGAGTAATTGTGCAGAGTTGGTGGTAGATGAGGGTGGCTCAGAGATGTGAGGTGAGAGGAGAGAGTCACAGCTCAGCTTGTCACCAACCCTGGGGCGGGCGGGGCAGAGGGAGGTGTGCCAACTAATAGTTAGCTGAGAAGGCTGGTAGAGAAAATTCAAACTCTGTGCATTTAGGTGGGTTGTTTCACCTCTGACTCTCCCAATGCTGCTGACATACCCTCTCCAGGCAAAGACATCCCCTACTGAAATGGGAAAAGACGTGACAATTGTTAGCCGAGCATCAGAAGAATGGAAGATCAGGAAGAGGCTGTTCTCCATCAGCCTCATGGACAGACCAAGAGAAATTACGGCTGAGGCGCTGCAAGATGGATTAAAGTAGGCTTAAGAAAGACATTCACCCAGCTAAGAAGCAGCAGTCCAAGGTGCAACTTATTTTCCAAGGAAACACTCCAGACACCTGCCCCCCTATTGAGTGAAGGAGGACCATGCCTGCCAATCCCTGGGGAATGGGGTTCAATTGTTTTTGCTTTGCAACTTTCTAGGAAGCTCAGGGTAACACGGAGGCTGGGGAGCTGGGTTAGAACTTCAGGCCCTGCTGTGTCCTCTGAGCATCCTGCCCTTGGGACTGCCGATCAAACTTTGGGGGTCTCCTTACCCTTCACAGCTCTGGAGGAAGTGTGGAATTAAGGGCTGCTGTGGGCCGGGCGTGGTGGCTCACCCCTGTAATCTCAGCACTTTGGAAGGCCAAGGGGGGCGGATCATGGTGTCAGGAGTTTGAGATCAGCCTGGCCAATATGGTGAAACCTGTCTCTACTAAAAAGACAAAAATCAGCGTGGTGGCACGTGCCTGTAGTCCCTGCTACTCAGGAGGCTGAGGCAGAAGAATTGCTTGAACCCGGGAGGCAGAGGTTGCAATGAGCCAAGATCGCATCGCTGTACTCCAGCCTGGTGACAGAGTGAGACTACATCTCAAAAAAAAGAAAAAGGCTGCTGTGGGTTGAATGGTGCCTCCCTGAAGTTTATATCCAACCGGCATCTCAGGCTGTGACTTTAGTTGGAAATAAGGTCGCTGCAGGTATAAGTAAGAATAAATCATCCTGGATTTAGGGTGGGCCCCAAATCCAACAACGGGTGTTCCTGGTGTTCTTTTGCTTTTTTGTTTTTGGGATTTTGGGGTGGGGTTTTTTGTTTTTGTTTTATTGAGATGGAGTCTTGCTGCATTTCCCAGGCTGGAGTGCAGTGGAGCGATCTCGGCTTACTGCGATCTCCGCCTCCCAGTTAAAGTGATTCTCCTGCCTCAGCCTACCAAGTAGCTGGGATCACAGATGTGCACCACCACACCCAGCTAATTTTAGTATTTTTAGTGGAAAGAGCGTTTTGCCATATTGGCCAAGCTGGTCTTGAATTCCTGACCTCAAGTGGGTCCACCCACGTAGGCCTCCCAAAGTGCTGGGATTACAAGTGTAAGCCACCACCATGCCCAGAAAGCCAGGTGAAGACAGAGGCTGGGATTGCAGTCACACCTGTAATCCAAGGAATGCCACAGATTGCAGGCAGCTGCCAGAAGCTCAGAGGGCAGCAGGAACCGACTCTGCCTCAGAGCCTCCAGAAGGAGCCACCCTGCCAGCACTTTCATTTCTGACTTCTGCTCTCCAGAACTGTGAGAGAATACATTTCTGTTATTTTAAGCCCCATGTTTCTGGGGTTATTACACTAACCTTAAGGAAATAATACAAGGGAGTTGGGCAAAGGGGTTGCAGAGACCCAGTTTTCTTGGGTGCAAAGAACCCTGACCATATCCCCTAGTTCAGCGACCCAAGCATTCCTGTCTCCAGCGCCGCCCAGAAGAGCGTCTTTACAAGTCAGAGAGTCTATCACATGCCCCCCAATTCCTCCTCCCCCATGCGCACCCCAGGAACACACAAACCCCACTTGAGGCCGGGTGAGTTGGCTCACGCCTATAATCCCAGCACCTTGGGAGGCTGAGGTGGCAGATCACCTGAGGTCAGGAGTTCAAGACTAGCCTGGCCAACATGCCGTCTCCACTAAAGATACAAAAATTAGCCGGGCATAGTGGTGGATGCCTGTAATCCCAATTACTTGGGAGGCTGAGGCAGGAGAACCCTTTGAACTGGGGAGGTGGAGGTTGCAGTGAGCTGAGATCACGCCATTGCACTCCGGCCTGGGCAACAGAACGAGACTCCGTCTCAAAACAAAAACAAAAAATCCCACTTGAACTGCCCTCTGCACCCACTCAGTGGGGACTTCAGTCAGGCCAAGCCTGGAGACTGCCCCTCCCCTCTGTGACACTGCACCTGCTCGGCCCACATCTTCTGGTCTCAGTTTCCCTGGTGCCTTCCCCAGATGGCCTCCTCAGAGGCTCAAACAGATGAAGCCCAGACAGGCACCATCCTCTGTGGACTCCTCCCTGCCTCACTTCTCAACCAGGGCTACCAGTCACAGAAAACACCCAGTGGCCTCTCTAGCTAGGGGAAGCAGGAAATGGCTAGGTGCAAGGTTCAGAGAGGTCAAACCAGATGCAAGCCAAGATCCCAGCCCTCAAGACAGGGTCTCAGGGAATACCCCAGTCATGGCATCCATAGACAGAAGGCACTCTTTACCCATTTGTTTTTTCTTTTCCTTTTGGCCAAGTGGACATTCCAATAGAGAAGGCACTTGTTTACCCATTGTCCTCATTTCCCACCATGAAGGCATCTAGGAAAGACCCCCTCTTAGGGAAGAACATTCCAGGGTAGACAAAGGGCCAAATGGCAGGGCCTCTCTAAAGGCCACCCACATGATGTCATCCGCCTTAGGAACAAGCCGGGGTCTCCTGAGTCATCCTTCCTCCCCACACTCTCCTCCCTCTGATTGGACACTTCGCCCCCTCACAATCAGTTCTCAGCCCTTTATTGGGGCATCTTGTATTTATCTCATTCTCAAAGCTGCCTGACACCTCCCCAGAGCTGGGGCCTGCAGGGCAGCGGAGAGCAGCCCTCCTCCCTCCTCCTGGATGGACTCCCAATTCTGTCACCTGCCCGGAGAGCTCAGAGCCATGGGAGCTGGTGGGTGCTGTCCTCTCTTCCTGGGCATGGGCTGGGTGTTGGGAATGTGGAGTCTGACGGAGGGCCTGTCCTCCATGTATTATTGCTGCTGAGGCAGCTGAAGATGGAGAGAACTCCAGGGGAGGCAGAGGTGCAGTGATGACCATGTTGGAGAAGAGCTTTGAGGCTGAGCAGAAGTCAAGATAAATGAACTCTCTCTCCCATGAGTCACCATGCTTCGGGACAGCTGATGGGGAGGAGGCAGAGTGACCATGCCCTGGAATCTTTGATTTCCTGTCATCAGACAGCCAAGTCGAGCTGGACAAAAACATCCTGGGAGGTGTGGACCATGCAGGCATGGGGGAGAAGGGCCACACTCAGGAAGCTATGGGGCCATGTCATGGCAACCATCTGCTTCACTGCAAATCTTCTGCTTCATGGTCCCTCCCCCCACCCCCAAGTGTTCGTCAGACTGTGTGTCCCAAGTTTGCTGCAGGAATGTGGCCACTGAAGCCTGGTTGTCTTCCTCCCACCCACAGCTGGTCAGAGCCTGAGCTAGACTGGAACTCTGGCCTCCTCACCCCCAGCCCAGCACCCTTTCCTCCACTGACTCATCCAGGAGGCTGTGAACACTGTGGCCCCACAGCGTCTCAGCTCTCTTCTCCTGCCTGCTCCTGCTCTCTAAACACATTCAACACGCCGACAGGCGACGGCTGTTCCAAGAGTCCCCAAGGTCCCCTTCCCTGGTGTCTGAGTTGTGCCAACGGCAGGCTGCACAGCCACCACTAATGTTCAGTTGCAGGACTGGGGTAGCATCAGGATTTTTTGGTTTTAAAAATTTATGCAAAAATGTCTTCAGAACCTCCATATTCTCAAGTAAAAGAATTCTAGTGCCCAAGATAAGAGGGACCAGGGACAGCGGATAGAGCTAATTAGATCCAGAGGCCTGTGCTTTAGAAAAGGGCCAGGGCTGTCAAGAATTGCTGGGCATAGAGCCAGGCACCGTGGCTCGTGCCTATAGTCCCAGCACTTTGGGAGGCCAAGGTGGGTGGATCGCTTGAGTCCAGGAGTTCAAGACCAGACTGGACAACATGGCAAAACCCTGTCTCTACAAAAAAAAAAAAAAAAAAAGGCAAAAATTAGCTGGGCATGGTGGTGCGTGCCTGTGGTCCCAGCTACCAGAGAGGCAGACGTGGGGGATTACTTGAGCCTCTGAAGTCTAGGCTGCAGTGAGCCAAGATCTCACCACTGCACTCCAGACTGCGTGACAGAGCGTGACCCTGTCCCAAGAAATAAACAAACAAAAAGGAATTGATGGGCTTAAGGCCAGGCATGTGGTGCTCATGCCTGTAACCCCAGCACTTTGGAAGGTTGAGATGGGTGGATCACTTGAGCTCAGAAGTTCAAGACCAGCTTGGGCAGCATGGTGAAACCCCTTTCTACAAAAAAAAAATAATAATATGCATATATATATATATATATATAAATTAGCCAAGCTAATGTGGTGGCACATACCTGTGGTCCTAGCCACTTGGGGGGCTGAGGCAGGAGGATCGCTTGAATTGGGGAGGTTGAGGCTGCAATGAGCTGAGATCGTGCCACTGCACATGCCCTGTTCTGAAAAGAAAAAAAAGAATTTCTGGGCATGGGTGGGTCTTCCTGGAGCTCTGGGATGCTGCCTCTAGGGCAGGTGGTCTCAGCACATTCACTTGGGAGGTGAATTTGCAGTAGGGGAGACAATCTCACTAATTAGTAATAAACGTCTTTATTTTATTTATTTATTTGAGACAGAGTCTCACGCTGTTGCCCAGGCTGGAATGCAATGTTTCAATATCAGCTCACTACAGCCTCTGCCTCCCAGGTTCATGCGATTCTCCTGCCTCAGCCTCCCGAGTAGCTGGGATTACAGGGACACATCACCACACCCAGCTAATTTTTGTAATTTTAGTAGAGACAGGGTTTCACTCTGTTGGCCAGGCTGGTCTCAAACTCCTGACCTCATGATCCACCTGCCTCAGCCTCCCAAAGTGCTGGGATTCCAGGTGTGAGCCAACACGCCCAGCCTAAACATCTTTATTTCTTAATGAACACTCTTCATCATCCACCTCCGACTTAGTTCAGTCTCCTGCTTTCTAGGAATGGAGCTGTCCCAGGGTTTCGTGGGTTGGGGGAAGGAGAGACACCTACTCCTCTTGCTTCCCTGCCAGTCACGTCCCTCTGAGGTAGAGAACCTGGGAGTGTGTGTTCTGGTTTTCCTTGGGTTCATTTGGGGAAGAGGAGTCCTTAAAGCTGCCGGAATACAAAATAAGGAAGTGGAAGGTAGAAGAGATAAGTCAGCCTGGTAAGAAAGAGAACAAGAGGTGTCACACTCCCCTAGAAGGCAGGTCTCTTGCTTCCCTTATCCGAGGGGCACCTCTGCTCCTTCCTTGCGGCTTATTTCCCTCTCCATTCCTGTGGTCCAGGGACAGGAATGCTGAGAATGGTTCAACATTTTATCCTGAGCTATTTTGAGGGGAATGGGGGGGACAGAGCTGAGTGGTGGAGCCCAATCACTCCCTTCTCTCTAGTTCCCACCATCCCCTCCCCCATCCATGTTTTGGAGTTGCCAAGGAAACCGCACAGCCTATCTGCATCTTCTGTTTTGTTCCTGTCAAAGCCAGGAAACTTTCTAAGGCCAAATCAGTGGGAGCTCTGTCAGAGTTGGTCGGCAGGGAGAGGCCGCTCCAGCGTGAAGCTCCTGCACGGATGCCCTCCCACACAGCTGTGCATGCACACGCACACACGCACGCACACACAGCGTGCACCACCCCCACACACCCGCACCTCCAATCAACCAGCCCAACCTCCAGGAGGAGAGAAAATGGAAAACAAATAGGGAAAAAAATCCACTCTGCGCACCCTACCATGCCACACACCCACACCACTTCCATCCTCCTCTCCTCTGAGCCTTGCAGGGCTGGCAAAGGTTGGTGCCCCAGGCAGCTCACCCACTCCAACGGCACTCTGGCACTGCAGGTGTGGCAGCTCCAGAGACAGTGTGCAGTCAGGCTACCCTAGGAGGTGAGTCCTGGGAGCAGAAGGAGGCAGCAAGCAGAGAAAGGGATATGGAGGTATAACCCCATGGTTCCAGGCAGGAGTCACAGACTGTTGTGTGACCTTGTGAAGGTCACCTAAATACACTGCTCGATGTCACCGAGATACAAGCTGCTACATGGAGTAGTGAGTCCTCCATCATTGGAGGTATTCAAGCAGATGCTGAATGCCCATCTTTATAGGAGGTTCATCTAAAGGATACTCCTACTTTGAGTGGGAGCTTAGGCCAAATAATCCCTGATATTGTTGGCAGGAAGATTCTAGAATCATAGTTTAGAGTCTTTGTGTGCCGCAGGCTCACTTTGCACGTGATGGCCTAGGGGCTGAGGGCAGAGGGGCCGCCCCTTCCTCCACACACAGGCATTCACCTATGCGGCTGACCTTCTCACTTCTCAGCCAAGAGCCTGGTCATTGCTTTCCCTGGAAGGCTTGAATGGGTTCAAGAGTAGACACCTAAGGAAAACCCAGTGGGGCCAGGTGTGGAGGTGCACACCTATAATCTCAGCACTTTGGGAGGCTGAGGTGGGAGGAGTGCTTGAGCCCAGGAGCTCGAGACCAGCCTTGGCAACATAGTGAAACGCTGCCTCTAAAAAAAATGTTTCAAACGTAGCTAAGTGTTGTGATGCGTCCCTATAGTCCTAGCTACTTGGAAGGCTGAGGTGGGAGGATCACTTGAACCCGGGAGGTTGAGGCCGAAATGAGCTGTAGTTGTGCCACTGCCCTCCAGCCTGGATGACGCAGCGAGACCCTGCCTCAAACAAACAAACAAACAAAAACCCAGGGGAGGATGACTGGGTATGAGAATTAGAGAGCCTAGCACAACCAGCCTGGGGTGATGCCCTGTCCAGCAGGCCAATTTCTGCTTGAATAAAGAAAGGATCGTGTTTTGAGAACCAGCTGAGAAAGTGGCCTTATTTTCCCAAAGATGAGGGACTGAGAGGGGTGTTCTCTCCGGCCAAGGGAGAAGGGGGTTGTCATCAGGAGAAGAAGGCAAAGCAGAGGCGATGACGTAAGGTCCTTAGGATCAGGGGAGTGCTAGGTCCTAGAATCCAGACCCCTGGAACTACAGTGTCACCTGTGCCCTGCACAACAGTGTCCGCAGAAGGGGTGAACTGGGACTTACATCCAGCCAACCAGTGCCTCCCGTAGGACAGAGGCTGCCTGGAAGAGGGTCTGCATTAATTATTTTTCCTGATCACCTTTCTCCTCCACCCTCCACCCTCCAGTAGGCACCGGTGTGTGTGGTTCCCCTCGAAGCATCCATGCATTCTATCATTTAGCTCCCACTTACAAGTGAGAACATGCACCATTTGTTTTTCTGCCCCTGCGTTAGTTGGAGGCACCTTTTTCTAAATCTCACCAGGGTCAGTAGCAGCCCTGCTCACACTACTTCCCCCATCAACAGCCTATGATCTTCCTAAGGTACTAGTCTCACCCAGACCCTCCCTACTTACACTCTTCAGTGGCCGCTGCTTTCTCCTAATGGGAAAAAGGCAAGTTTTCTAGCCTGGTGGACAGGGTCCCTCATCGTGTACCTCTCCCTGCCCATCTTCCCAGTCTTTAACATCCTCCAGTGCTCCAGCCACATCACCCTACCTTCCCCCAAACTGCCCAACTTCCTCAAGGTTCTTTCCAGCCTAGATCCCACAGGGAACTCAGTTGTGAACAACAGAAACCACCTCTCACTAACCAGCAGAGAAGGAATAGTCTGGGCTGATTACAGGCGCGGTGGCTCACTCCTGTAATCCCAGCACTTTGGGATGCCAAGGCGGGTGGATCACCTGAGGTCAGGAGTTGGAGACCAGCCTGGCCAACATGGTGAAACCCCATCTCTACTAAAAATACAAAAATTAAGGTCAGGCGCAGTGGCTCACGCCTGTAATCCCAGCATTTTGGGAGGCCGAGGCTGGCGGATCACTTGAGGTGGGGAGTTCAAGGCCAGCCTGGGCAATAAGGTGAAACCCTGTCTCTAAAATAAAAAATAATAAATAAATAAAAATACAAAAATTAGCTGGATGTGGTGGCACATGCCTGTAATATTAGCTACTTGAGAGGCTGAGGCAGGAGAATCGCTTGAACCAAGGAGATGGAGGTTGCAGTGAGCCAAGATGGTACCATTGCACTCCAGCCTGGGTGACAGAGTGAGATTCCATCTCAAAAGGAAAAAAAAAAATTCTATTAGCTCAAGAGTTGATGGGCAGCACCTGCCCTTGCCCACACAGGTGGGAAACAAGGGATGTTGATGGCAGAGAATACTCCAAGGTCAGGTGACAGGGAGCACCTTGTTGGGGTACTGCTGCTGGTTCTGCCCCGTGTCCACCACCCATACCACCCCCACACTAGATACTGTTCTTGAAGCAGCCTGGAGCAGCCACCACTGCTACAAATGACTGCTCCTGCCCAGGTCCCAGCGATCCCAGTGGGAGCATCAGATTGGCTGAACTCAGCTTCCAGGCCATCCTCACCCCACCCTCACTCTGCCCATGCCACATTTGTGGGGGGTCGGGGAGCAGGGAGACAGAAACTCTGCCTTTTTTAGTATGTGGTCAAAGGTAGAATTCTTCCCCAACTAAGACTCATATAATGAGGAATTCCCTCCAAAATAGGAAGGTTGCTTAGTACTGGACAATCAAAACCATGACGAATATCCATTCACTGTCCCTGTCTGCCTCATCAATTCCTGTTCACTCCTTGAATGAAATCCCTGTAAAACCTTCCTCCAGGTGGGGCGTGGCAGCTCATACCTATAATACCAGTACTCTGGGAGGCCAAGGCAGGCAGATCACCTGAGGTCAGGAGTTCGAGACCAGCCTGACCAACATGATGACCGCCCCCCCCATCTCTACTAAAAATACAAAATTAGCTGGGCGTGGTGGTGCATTTGTGTAATCCCAGCTACTCAGGAAGCTGAGACAGGAGACTCACTTGAACCCAGGAGGTGGAGGTTGCAGTGAGCCGAGATTGTGCTATTGTACTCCAGACTGGACAACAAGAGTAAAACTCCTTCTTGAAAACAAAGAAAGAAAAAACCTTCCTCCTACCTAGGCATGCTCCAGTGACCGCTCTATGTTTTCATAGTACCCAATATTTACCTCCACCAAGGCCTTAGTTTAGCAAAGTGGTTTTCAGATTTGTCTTCCTCACCAGACCGTGGGTTCCTTTGGGTCTTAGAGGGGGACAAGCTCATCTGTGACCC